GTAGTAAAAGGCCATGAATTCTCATCCTGCTTTAGTCATGGTGTCCTGTTGTAGGACCTCTGGGAGGGGAAGGGGAAGAGAGAGAAGTGTGGAAAAGAGGGGGAGAAAGGAAAAAAAGGCATTGACTTCCAACTCCCTCTGTTGCAGTAGAATTAACATCGGACCTCAACTCTTTACTTTTATACAATAGTATAAAGTAGCCATTTATATAACAGCAAATCTATCTAATCATAAAGCCCAAAATCAAAGTTTCATTTTTTCCCACCTCAAACACAAAGTCCAGAAGCGGTTTCCGAGTAGAAACCAAAGCACTTATATAAGTGTTCATGGATATGACATATTCAGCTTTTCTTATTTCATTATACTGAAAATATGGACCATTTTCCAGTTATTGATAAACCTTTTTGAAAATCATTCCATCAGAAAAATGGGTCAAATTTTATGTATGTACTGTAAATAAGATTTTTTCCACTCTTAAGTCAATGCTATGAACAGCAAGTCCTTTCCTAGGCTTAATAGTGCTCTTCTTCTGTTGGGTAATGCAAACACTGAAGTAATCTGCCAGATTTGATTCCTGAAGTGAGAATTTTAGGTCAGCTGGTATGCATAGGTATGAACCCTCCTTATGTCCATTATTTCATTCCCATTCTAAATAACTATTAGAAAAAGGCAGAAAATAATGGAGTGGAGAGAGAGGGGGAGGGGGAGAGAGGGAGGGAGAGACAAATTGATTGATTGTAGGTAGTTTTGTACAATTTAGCTGACCTGCTTTATAGCATTGATTTGGTATTTATTCTTGTTAAAAGGCGCACCAAGCATTTTGTTAAGTGGTAAGCCTAGAAATGCTTACAATAAAATAAATATTAATATATAAAGATATAGCTGTTACTCAGTAGGGAAAATAATTGTAAATGGATTTTCAACCACTGTGAAAAGGCTGCAAAAAGGATGAGCAAAACTTACACCGCCTCCCTCCTCTGACACCAAAATATCCACAGCAAATATGCAAAAACAAATTCCTTTATTATCGAAGACATATTTTCCTGTGACTAAAATGTAATATGCCTTTTCTTAGCTGTATATGTAGGTGAGTTCAAATTATTTATCCAATATTATGGCTCAGTTCACGCCCAGTCCAGGATGGCTGGCTCAGGAATTCTGGAGTTTGAAGTCCAGTGGTCATAAAATTGCCATATTTCCCACCCCTGTTCTAGACTGACCAATGCTATGACTTACTTTCAACACTGTTAAGCACTTTTCATACATCCAAGTTTCACAGTGACATGAAGGTATGCAATGCATAGACTTATTAAACCAACAGGGAAACCAAGGCTCACTTCTCAAGCAGGCTTTTTCCTAAAATTGGAAACAGTCTTTTGAAGAGAAGCCAGATGCTAATTGTTTAGTGCAATCAAAGGAAGTGATGGAAAGACACATAGATTACCTCTTTTTAAAAACCTTATCTTTAATTTTTCCAACATCCTCTATTTTCTTCCTTACCAACTATGTTTTTATTTCAAAGTAAAGAAGTTTCCCATGAAATAAAACAAGGAACAAATAGGAACAAATCACATATTCTAGAAGTCCAACAAGAGGCTTCTGGAACTTAGGCCAAGGACTGTAGGAAACTTGGCAAAGGACTACAAGAAGCCCCAGAGGCCTTGGTTGTTCCACATAGATATGATTTTCAAATCTCCTGACTCCAGGGCAAGGAAGACATGTGTGTCAATAAGCACACTGAATTTAGGCAGATCTGACTGAACTGTTTTGAACAATGGATGGTTTTTTTTCCTTTGAAGGTCATGTAACACACATTTATCGCCTATGCATATTCTACACTGCCAGACATTTTATCTTCAGTTGGATCAATCTAATAGAAATATCCTTCCATGACCTGGAGGACTTACAAGCAAAGGAAAATATTTTCTAAGGAACCTGATTAAACCTTACTGTATATCATTCTAACTAGGCATTTGCTTTCAATGCCATTTCAAAGAATCTGATTCCACTTTAACTGAGAATCAATATGACCATCTGAGTACAATCTCATGAGTAACACTCACTGGGAGTGCCATTGCGAGTTTATGCCATAATTTTTTAATTTCAATTTTTATCTTCTTCACTTCTTTGCCTTCTGTTTTACTATCCCCTGGTATTGTCACATCAATTATCGTATAATTCTTCTTTTTAATCACAATTATATCTGGTGTGTTATGAGCCAAGCTTGTATCCGTTTGTATTTAGAACTCGCATAATAGTTTAACCTGCTCATTTTCTGCTACTTTTTCAGTTCAATATTCCCACCAATGTTTTATTGTTGGCATATGGTAATTTTTACAAATTTTTCAGTGAATTGTTTTGGCAATTTATGTTATTTTTTAAATAATCAGTTTGTGCAATCTTCTTGCAATCTCTTAGCACTAGCTAACTGCGCTGCTTCTTTACACAATCTGTCCTTTGAATCATTTGATGATTTTTCAATTCTGGCTGGATTGGATCAAGACTTCAGTTTCTTTCTTTTCTTTCTTTCTTTTCTTTCTTTCTTTCTTTCTTTTCTTTCTTTCTTTCTTTCTTTTCTTTCTTTTTGATATTCCAGTTGTATGCCATTGCCAGGTTTTATTTCTTTATCCACTTTCCCCTCAATCTTTTTGTAAAAAAATAATCCTGTAATGCTTTTCCATGTTGTGCTTTTATGTTATTTCAATTTGCATGTTTTATTTCATGTACATTCCAATAAATTCCAATTTTAAGTTGCACCAATGCTTGTTCTTGGTTTTACATAATCAGCCAATGCATGCATCTCTTCTTCAACAGTTTGTTTGACTTAAATCTCTGCTTCCATTACTCCAGGTAATCAACATCACTACAGGGATGTAATGCACGGTGAATAATCATCGTTTTCTTGTTCCTCAGCTTATTCTTATTGTTGGCCCTTGTGGATTCTATATATCTTAACTATTAATCCTAAAGCTGGAACTTGCTTAATGAATCTGGAGCTTCCTCATCAGAGTTTGTCCTTGATGATCACTTCACAGAATAGCGTTAACAACAAGCTATAAAATGGTCCTCAGTAATGATGCTGTCATTCCTGAATATTAAATATGACACAAGATGTATCTTTCATATGCAGCAAATGTTGGCCTTAATCCTCTGTTTGTTTTTTAATTTCTCAAAAAAAAACCCCCACCCTGTTCTAATCCTGCATTTTCACGTGCTATTTTTCATTTTATGAAGAAATTGATAAGCAGGCAGAGTCTTTTAGCACATTGGATTAATGTTATTCATTCTCTTTGAACTTGATTAAAAAGCTGTCAAAGGGAAGTCTACATTTTATTGGTGGAATACTTTTACAAAATATGGTAGGGGATGTTATAGCCGAAACCATACATTTTAAAGTAAAATAATTTATTATCCTATTGTTTATCCATGACAACTAAAACTATCAATGTATAAATTGATTCAAGTCTAGCCAAATAATCCTAAAGATATACAAAAAGTTTGTGTTTGAAAGAACTTAATATACTTCACTAATAAACATCTCAAGGAGCATAGTAATAACTCGGGGAAAACCCTATAGAGCACAACATAACTAAGGAAACCATAAAACTTTATAAAGTGATGGCAATTTAAAATGGGCAGTGTGTTACTTTGGGCATTTTAAGTTGTACTTCAGGAATTAATTTCAGTCTAGATGCAGCCTCTACAGTAGATTGATTTGGCAGTTTGAATCTCAACAGGTTCAAGGTTGACTCAGCCTTCCATCCTTCCGAGGTGGGTAAAATGAGGACCCAAATTGTTGGGGGCAATAGGCTGACTCTATAAACTGCTTAGAGAGACCTTTAAAGCACTGTAATGCAGTATATAAGTCTAAGTGCTATTGGTATTGATCATCCTGGTAATCCTTTCCCTCCCCAAATGGAGTAGGATACACCAACAAAAGCTACTAGGCCTCAAAACTACTGATGTGGTTACAGTAAAAAAGTATTGATACTTCTTACTGTCCTGATGTAAGCTAAAATGTTAGCTCTTACCATATTTTGTTAAGTTCACTTTTAGTACTTCATCACTAGTTCTCCTAGCATCTTTTCTCACATTTCCATTTCTGGACCTCCTCAGTAAACCAAGAACTACTCCAGCATCAGTAGATAGGGAAAAAAAGACCAGTTTGGGATAACCATGTGTTACATCTAGAGTCCTGACCACCTTTGAATTCCAGAAATGGTTAGAATTGCCAGCTAGATTGCAGGGAAGACACATGGCTGAACATCCAAAGCACCCATCTGAGGTAGGTCATTTTAATTGTTCTTCAAAACTTTGTGGAGTTTGTTTGTGGCATTTGAATGTTATCCAGACCTCAATCAGAAAAGAAGTGGTTTGATCATGTAAAGAACTAATTGCAATGTCCTTCATTTCCAGATCTTAGAATGACAACTGTGACATGGAGACCAGATCTAAATAATTACTTTATGAGTAGTCATCATCAAAGTCAATCCATACTTGCCATGGAGGCAATACATTTCTGACTGAGGTTTATGTCCTCTAATACTTATAGTCAATATCAACTTATCAAGAAAATCCAAGAGCTCACAAAGGAATTCCCCTAAGCAGATTCCCTAGCTTGACCCTATAGCCCAACTTCAAAATGGACATTCACATTGTGTAGAGCACAACCATTGCCACAGTATACAAAAGAATCATCACCAGTTTAGCTCCTTTGCCTTGGAATCAGGGCTGCCGAAGGATGTGAAATTTGGTAAAGACTATCCAAAGAGGACAGTATTCCCATTCTTGTTCAACCAAGTTTTTATAGTACCTGCCAGGTCCTCTTGCTCATCTACAAACAGTATTTTGTTACAAATGGGGCTGATATTTATCAATGGCCTCTTGAGGTCAAGGCTTCCAACTATCTGGCCTGCCAGACCCAGGCATACAAGTCAATTTTTGGCTATAAACAAAGACAAGCACACAGGCAAAATATACTAGCAAAGACCAAGTTGTTTAAAGAGTTAATTCTGAGTACATATAAGCAAATGTTGACAATATATTTTTATTTCAATGTTTGGAAATGTAAAGACAAAACCATCACTAAGTTTTCACAAAATGAGGCATCTGTCACTGGAAAGAAAAAAAATATTTTAAAAAGATGTTTACAGAAATGTAAAAATATTAGGTATCAAGACAGATGTGAACACATTCAGCAACATTCCCAGTCTGTCAGTCAGAACTGAAGATCTTGGTGTATTCAGTTAGCATCAGCTCAATCAGTTGGTTTTGATACAGCATGTGGATTGCCATAGATCCTGTCTCTTTTTCAGGTCGAAGGAGAGTTGGTCCAAAAACAATTCCTAAACTCTGGGATGACATAAGATTCATGTTCTCCTTGGCTGCTATCCTAGTGGTAAAAAGAAAAAAAAACGTTAGAAAGAAGGAAAGAAAAGATAACCAAAACATGGATCATGACCACAACTGCTATTTTTCCACTGATACTTTAATTACAGCCTGATTTTTTTGATTTAAATGTTAGAGAGAATTAAACAAACATAAGAAAGGAGGTGTTAATATTTTTGGATCCAAGATGACAGAACTAAGACAAAAATAATTTCTGCTTTCCAAGCATCAGAACCTTCCCATATATGCTTTGTTGTTGCTATTCCATCTTTATGTAAAGCTGATTATGTGTTTTGCAAAATCGGAATTTTTCTCCCCAAGGTTTCTTTTTCTTTCCTCTTAGTACTCTAGGAATTACACAAGACGTTTTGTGGGTTGTGATATGCTTTTTCAAAGAATTGCATTAATGGGTGTAGCAGTCAAAGCTTAGCAAAAGAGCTTTCTAACCATAGCCTTTACCTATTGATGAGGCAGAAGTTGTGGCTCTAGGACACAGATGTCAAACATGCGCCATCATGTTGCTGTCACATGATGTATCACAGAGCATGATCTTATGATAGAAGTTTCTCATATTTCAAGTTTGCCACATTCTCTAAACTCAGACACTTAATTTAATGTTGTTGTTGGGTGGCTTTTTGATCTAATATCAAAAAGGAACATTATTGAAATCCATTCTAATGCTCATAACCTTGGTGTCTGTTACAAAAAAAAATACTCCATATGCCACCGATCAGGATAATTAATACTTACTTTATATATTACTTACTTTAAAAAATAGCATCTTTATAATAAACAACATTTTTTCCATAGATTATTTTGTGCAGAAGGGTAATAATAATAATGCTGACGTACTAATCAGAATAGAGGTAGACAAACTCTTTCTATTTTGTGTATGTGTGTATGTGTGTGAGAGGGAGACACACAGCATTTTATTCCACTTGCCTTGCATGCTTTTAATATGCAAATACCAAGGTGCAATTTTCCAGATGTTGCAGCCAACATCCTATCCTAGTGTCCTTTTTCATCAGCAATGGTTTTGTGGGTTGCTTTGGAATTCTATAAAGGATTTTTTTTTCAATTTAGGGATAAATACATTTGTCTCTATCAGTTCCCATTTTGTTGAAAATATAGAGCATAACTATAAGAGACAAGGCCTGAATTGATTACCATCAATACCATCAATATTTCAAGATCCTCCATTGCCAAGTAAGTAGTCTCTCTAATCATCATATTTTGAACTGTGTCAGATGGAACAATGGCGATTGGCATAAAAAGGCAGTTACATTGTCCAAACAATCTTAAGCCACCTTGGGAAAGCTAAGGGAAATCATCAAAACCATTAAAAAGCAAAAATTAGAATATTTCAGACATGTGATGTAATACCCGGAAAAATACAGCATGCTTCACTTAATCCCCCAGGGAAAGATTGAAGGCAAATGAGGTCCAGGCAGAAGAAGAACATCATGGCTTCAAAATCTAAGGGATGGGTTTGGACAAAATGCAACAGCACTTTTACATGCAGCCGTTGATAAAAATAGGATAGCCAACACAATCACCAATGTCCAATAGCGGATATAAAACAACAACTACCACCACCACAACAAGAAACAATCTTATTATAAACCTTATGAAGAAAAGAAATAATGGGTTACCGGGGAGGGGCACATCACAAAATTTATTCTGCCATTTCAAACTCTTCAGCAGAAGTGTATCCCAAACTTAGATATACTTAAAACACATCTGTTGAGGGCAATGTGACTTAAGGAATGAACCTAAGTAGCACTGATTTCAGTAGGACTGATCTACTTTTAACTTTACCTAGAAACAGTCCACTGAAAATTGGCAGACTTGTTTTTTAATGCCATTAAATTTTTAAAAAGTGAAGCTCTTTTATTAGGCAAATGAATAATCACAGGAACAACTTTCTCTTGGTCTAATCTCTTTTACGTGACAAAAGTATAAGACTTATTAGAAATTAGTATTTAAGAAAAGAAACTCGAGATCATATTCTCCGAATAAATGCCAATCTCTTTTTTCCCCAGGATAGTCCATCATCTTTTTCCATGTTCCACCACCACCATAGTACATAATAGTAGCCAGCATTCTGTTTTTAATTGAATATACTTCCCAAGACAATTTGAGGAGTTTCCCCTTAGGTTTCTCCCTTTCAAAGCATTTAACATTTCCTCAACATTAGATTTTTGCCCATATTTTTTTTGCCCATCCATTTCTCACATTGAAAGTTTGTATATCTTAGAATTCGGCACATTTTAAATAGAAAATTGTCTAGCAGCATCATTATATTTTCAGAAACCTAAACTTATTCACTACAATTTAAATTTTAACTTTGACCTGATTGTAATATGTTTTTTTTAATTAAAATGTGGAATCCTTTTTTTGAGCAACAATTTATCCTTTGATCAAGGGTTTTTTTTTCTTTTTCTTTTTGTTTTTAAAACTACTCCAGGCTCAGAAAAAGCTTCTCTAGATACTTCAAGATGGAAATGAATGTTCCTTGAAAACATTACAAGAGCCAAGGTGGCACAGTGGTTAGAGTGCAGTACTGGAGGCTGCTAGCTGACTGCTAGCTGAAATTCTCACCAGCTCAAGGCTGACTCAGCTTTCCATCCTTCCAAGGTGGGTAAAATGAGGACCCAGACTGTTGGGGGTAATATGCTGACTCTGTAAACTGCTTAGAGAGGGCTGTAAAACACTATGAAGTGATATATAAGTCTAAGTGGTATTGC